TCTTCTTCTTCTTCTTCTTCTTCTTCTTCTTCTTCTTCTTCTTCTTCGTCGTCGTCGTCCTTCTCCTCTTCCTCTTCTTCGTCGTCCAATAAGTTGAACGCAGGAAACTCAACAGAGAAGATGTCTCATGGTAAAAAGTGCAATACAGTTTCTAATCAAATATATACGGACTCGAGCACCGACTCAGCTCGAAAGGATGCAGACAAGAATACTGCAGTGGCAATAATCGCAGGGAATAATTGTTTAGAGTTACAAGTAAAGACAGTGGACACAGTATGCGCGAATCGGGCAGAGGAAGCAATTACTGCTTTAAACAAGTGCGAATCATCACCGTTGAAGGTGTTCTCGTTAACAAAGAACGACGAGGAGCTAAATGCCAACGCAACAGAAACTCCCGCCAAAGACGATGCTTTGTTGAACGAGGCAGACATCTCAGAGACCCCTAACAGCTCCAAAACTGGCGTCGAGAGTTTGACTAATCTCTCTTCGAAAATTGCAGCATTTATAAGCTCAGAAGATCAAAAATTGTTGGAAAAATATAAGGACTTGTTCGTGAAAAATTCCACGGCGAAGAAAACAAAGCAAAATCCAAAGACGGTGGGCATAAAACGGTTGAAACCAAATTCTTCGGTTGGTTCCAAGTCTGACAAGTGTGTCAAGAAGAAGGAAGAGAAGTCTAAGGTTGAAAAACTATCCTCGCAATTGGAAGAGAAGCGTCAACGTGTGATTGCCAAGTTTAGAGAAAATCCAAAGTCTAATGTAACTTATGGGAAAAAATGTGCGATTTTAAAGGATCGAAGTAGTGTTAATTCGAGGAGAAAGTATAATCAGCGGAACGAGGATCAGGCTAGCGATAGACGGAAGAGGAAAGAAAAGAAGGATACAGAGGTGTCTAATAATAATAATAATAATAATAATAATAATAATAATAATAATAATATTAATAATAATGATGATGATGATGATGATGATGATGATGATGATGATGATGATAATACTGACACGCTAGTAAAGAATTCATCCAGCGATAGCGTAGGTAAAACTTTGAAAACACAGAATAAAGAGCATCCTGTAGCTTCGACTAGTGTCAGTGGTCATAACGAAAGAAATTGTAACGAGGGGATTGCATGGAACGAAACCTCGACGATAAAAACTACGAAACACGCGGATGTCGAGACTAAAAGTAACTTCAATAAAGTTATCATTATTGAAGACGTCGCGAACAACGTTGAAATCAATCAAACTCGAAAGAAGAGTTCAGACGATTTCGATCCAGAAAATAAAGTGTCCATTTCAAATAACACGGAGGAGGAAATCTCAGCACAACCTGAAGGAAGCATGCATGACTCTAAAGAACATAGTTTGGATACGAGGGAACCTGAAAACTATGAACAGATAAACGTAATTGTTTCGCAGGAAAGTAAATCTGAGGCGATAAACAACGAACATAATTACAACGAGAAAAATGTGCGCAAGGTAAAGGAGTACCCGAGTCACGGTGGTAAAACAAGCAATATAATGAAATCGAAGGTTGACCAAGTGAAACGAGACTTGTTCAGTGATGAAGAAAATGATCATAAAGCATCCGATAACATAAAGAGTCTGCCTCGTCAGGAAAATAACGAAGTAATTCATAAACCTCGAGTACCCGGTACTTTTAAATCGTCTACAGAAAATGTGGACTCGGAGAATCCCAAGAATTTATCGCGTGTCCTTCAGTCGTTGCAGTTGATCCCCACGTGCAAAAACGATCATACTAGATTGCCTGAATACGGACACGAGGATAACTGTGGATCGTCTGATCTCAACGCGACTTCTACGCCCAACTCGGTCGAGTATCATTTCCTTTACGACGACAATACACCCACGAAGAAGAGGAGGCGAAGATTCAGTAGTCACGAGTTGGAATTTCAGATTAACATCGTTCTGAACGATAAAGGCTGCGAAGAATGCATTAAAGTAATGACTGCCACCGATTACGAAGAGATATTTAATCTTCCGTCGAAATCTAGAAATAAACCTGTGAACAGGAAGTCCCCTGTAAAGAATGAAAACAGTGAATCATCCGACAAAGGGTTTCTTAGTAGTTTAACGATGAAAAATATACAAACTAAGCCTTTAACCACGTCAACCCCTCTCGAGAAGACACTTGCACATAAGGTGAAGAAAGGTGCTGTTAAAACTTCCGCGATAAATGAGAAAAACAATGAGATGCAACCTGATAGTAGAAAGAAATCGAAGGTGGACAAAGCAGTTCGAGAAAACGATAAAGGTAATTCGTTGATGTGACCTACAAACTAAACCGAAATAGATTAATATCAAAGAATTAAAAATGAAATTCTTAATAATTTTAGCGTGTCCAAGTACATTACATTTTTTATAGATAAAGAACCTATAAACGATAAACGTTTCGACTCTATTGTCCTCTTTGATGTATATGGAAATCTATAAAAACAGAATTTTTGTATATAAATTTTCCATCCATGAAATATATAAATAGTGTTCTTTATCTACATCATATGCATTTACGTGAATTTTCAGATACTTATACCGGAAAAATTTCGAAAAGGAAATTGTCGGAGACGAAAGAAAGTAAGCAGGTACATGTAATTTATTTTATTCTCATATTTTGTTCTTTATGAAATGGAAATGCAAACAACCTATTTTATAGATCGAGAAACGACAGTATACAACGGATCCGCAGAAATTACTGAGCAACTTGGATCTAGATAAGTTTTTAACGTCCGTTCACGGACCAGCGTAAGCACAAAGTGAAGCTTTCGAACGTTGTACAAAACTAACTGATGTACAGTAGCGTTATTTATCTATCGTGCGAATCGTTGTTTTTTTTTTTTTTTTTTTTTTTGTTTTGAGAAATCACTTTGTCTCGAACAGAACCGGTTTTTTATATGTAGAGTATTAGAGGTTTTAGAATTAATAATAAAAGTTGACCTTTGTGATGTGGAATTTAAAATGTAAAAAGAAACAAAATTGATGAAGATCACCCTGTTTTTCTCCACCTATATATATGAAACTAATATTTGCATGTATGCACTCAAAACCAGTAGCAAACATAGATAATGGGGGTGTTCGTTAAGAACGTTGATTCTTATTAATAGACGGAACGAATTTACAGATAGCTAGACGAATGTATTTTTTCTTTAAAAATAACAAGACACCTGTTAGATTGCATCAGGCAATCTTTTATAATGTATTCATTCGCGATGAATGATGAGACAAAACTTAACATTTAGATTTTACAGCTTTGTCCACATCTTCCACAACTTCTAGTAATTTCCGCCACTGGGCCATATTTAGACAGATTCCTGTATAAAATAATTATCCTTTTTAGTTTAGTATTTCCTTTTTAAGTAGTCAAAGTTTGCAAGAAAAGTATACAAATTTTTAATACCTTTTTTCCCAGGCTTTAAATTTGCATCCTTGTCGTAATACATTTCTCTAATGTCAACATATAATTTTCCTTTGAAATCCCGCACTGTAACTTGACGATTACTTCCAAGATCCCAAGCAGTATTTTCCTCCTCTTTCGGTGATTCCTGTTTTGGTTTCTTTGATGGTTTCTCTGTCTTCTCTTCGATTTTCCTCTTCTGCTTCTTCTTTGACTTTACATCCTTATAAAAAAAAAGGAATATGTAAGGAGGATACGAACGTTATAATACAAATGCTTTGTAAATTAAAAGAAATACCTCTTCGCTGCTATCGTCGTCGCTCGACACATATTCCTTCGACTTTGGCATTTTCTATTAGTTTACCTAAAATCTAAGCTTGTCGGTAAGATATTATTTCTTACGCGAATGTAATAACTCGTAATAAAATGTGAATCTTAACCTTAAAGATTACAATGATTACAACAAATACATATGTATATATACGTACCTAAAAATATTTTGCGTGTGGAAATTGATGCAAAGGGTACTGAATTTCATAAATTACCCAAGAATATGTAAGTTTGTCCCATTTATTAAACAGACGAACAAATATACGTTCAATTATATGTTATACATCATTTGAAAAAACCGTTGAATACTTACAAGTGCTTGTCTACAATCATCTACAATTACAAGATCGTACAACGTATGCACCATAAATTATACACTACGTAATATATGGTGATATAGAAGGGAAACTGTGATAAACCATCTTTGGAACGGAAATTATTTACAGAGTTCTCTTACTCTACTAACATTGCATTGCTCTATGACCAGCCATGGGCATGGAGTATGGAGTGAATCCAAGTGAATCATGAATCAGCCCCAATCACCCCAAACTTGTCAAATTTGTCAAAAGTAAACTTTTCTTCTTCTTACGATTACCATTTGATGGATTACCACAGTTAAATCACACACACACAAACACACGGTATCTCTTAAAAATGTTGGCGATGTTAACTGCTGATTGGTTTCCTTTGGGACGAGACGTATACTTTAGGTAACAACTTTGAGGTTATATGGAAGAACGATTTCAATTAATAAACGAACAATCAAATATTTTTCATTGTTTGATTTTTATAATTTTACAGAAAGTTTGAACTGTATCCACTTTCGTTCCAACAAGAGGTTTCAAACAACAATTTACTTGTGGCAGCTCCTTATGGAGGTTCCATTGCGGTCACCAAAAATCCCAAGAAATTTGTTAAAGTTCAGGGATCAAATAAATCCATGATTTATTTATATACCTCTGCTGGAAAACTAACAGCCAAGTTACAAGTAAAAATATTCAATTGTAAACTATTTGTGAATTTTATGCTATTACATATGTTCAAATCTTTTCTACACAATATGATTCATTTCTTTTAGTGGAGCGGTGGCCAACTGATTAATTTTGGCTGGTCCCAGCAAGAAGAGCTATTATGTATCCAAGACAATGGCTTAGTTCACATCTATGACATGTTTGGTACATACCAACATGCATTCACTATGGGAAATGTATGCTACTTTTGAATGATTTTATCATGCATAAAATTTATATAAACTATTACTATTATATCTGTCTCTTCTCGTATCAGGAAGTACAGGATACCAAAGTAATAGAGGCAAAATTCTTTGTAAGTTCTGGTGGAACAGGTATTGCTGTATTAACATCCACTTATCACATATTCCTAGTAAATAACATAGTTGAACCAAAAGTTAGACAAGTATCGCAAGTTCCAGGTGAGTTTCTTGGATTGAAATTAATATAACTTAAATTAATGTAACTTTTCATTCAGGATACGGAGGGCCGATAGATTGTTGGTGTTTAGTACATTCCAACAGAGAAACCCAAGTAATTTTATCAAACAAGGATGGAATATTCATAGTACACCAAGCACATCAAAGTCCGACTCATATACCATTTGTACGATACAAACGCTTGAATGATTAAAAGTATATTACAAACATATTCTCAAGACTTGATAAAATAATGTATTTTATAGGCCACTCTCTTTACGACGCAGAATAAAGTGAGTTCCGTCGTGGCAATGGCTGTTTCTGGAAATAATCGTCATATTGCTCTATACGCCGATACTGGCCAGTTGTACCTAGGTTCTATAGATTTCAAGGAGACATATTGTAACTACTACGCAAATACGAAAGAAACTTTATCGAACATAGCATGGTCGGTATGTTTGTGTCATTGTAAAAAGCAATTGGCGATATATTTACTAAGATTAACTTTCTAGGTGCGGAACGGAAGCGGTGGTTTGCAGCTGGGACAGTACCATAATGGTCGTTGGACGTACAGCTGAGACGATAGTATACACTTACGATGGTCCAGTGCATCTTGTTACAGAGATCGATGGCATACGCGTGTTATCCAGTTCGTCTCATGAAATGATACAGAAAGTACCAAGTGTCGTTCTGAAAATCTTCCGAATCAATTCAACCGATCCTGCATCTTATCTTTTGGAAGCTTCTGTACAATTCCAGAAAAAGAGTCACAAGGCTGATAGTTACATAGACCTGGTGAAATCAAAGTTAGACGCAGCGGTAAACGCTTGCATCGGCGGTGCTGGTCACGAGTTTGATTTTGAGACGCAAAAGCTTTTAATGAGAGTAAGCTTCCCTCGTGTTGAGCTTGTTTTATTATCACGATTCAAGGAATAATGTGCTCGTCGATTATTTTAGGCAGCCAAATTTGGCAAAGGATTCAGCAAGACGATCAATGCTGAATATTTCGTCACTATGTGTCGAACGCTGAGAATTCTGAATGCAGTGAGGCATCCTGCGATTGGAATTCCATTAACATATGCTCAGTATCCTTTTACTGTTCGATCTTCCGACTTTTATACTTTCATTATTTCATGATTTCATTTTTTTATTTTTTCATTTATCAAGTACATACTTAACAGACGCTTAGATACACCGTTCTAACGAGTCAAGTGCTACTGGACAGACTGGTTGCGAGAAGGCACTACTATTTGAGCATACAAATAGCAAGACATCTCAAACTACCCGAAATCGATGGCGAAAGCCGAATACTAGCTCACTGGGCTTGTTACAAAGTAATGTTATTGATTGTTAAGTTTTCTTCCTTCGATTACCTAAGCATCTCTCACTTTGTATATAAACAAAATTCTTCCGTGTCAGGTGAAACAAACACAACTGGACAAAGAACAAATAGCAGAAGAAATAGCTGATAAATTAGGATACGCGCCTGGTGTTTCCTACAGTGAAATTGCGAAGAGAGCAGCTGACTGTGGTAGAAAACAACTAGCAATTAAAGTAAAGCTTTTTTTTTTATATCTGCTTCGAGCTCTAGTTACGATTTTTTGTCTAACATAATATTATCCTTTTCAGCTGATAGACTACGAGCCACGTGCACACCAACAAGTACCGCTCCTGTTAACTCTAGGCGAGGAGAGAGCTGCTCTTCGTAAAGCTGTCGAAAGTGGCAATACTGATTTAGTTTACACAGTGATACTTCATCTCAGGCAGAAGATGACGCTAGGCGACTTTCAGGTGAACAATTTATTACCTATTTATTTATTTATATTAACGAAAAATAATGGATATTTAATTAAGATTCTTGTTATTGACACGGCACAGATGTACATAAAGCATTGTCCTTTAGCAATGGCGTTATATGTGAAATACTGTCAGAATCATAATCGGGAAACCCTTCGAGATATTTATAATCAATACGATGATTTTCATTCTCAAGCTGTATGGTTTATTACCGAGAGTTATCAACGAAAGGTTGGTGTAATTAATAATATACTTTAAACGTTTCAATTATTATCGGTTCTGTTTTATGTTGTGGTTAAAATCTTTCAGAATACAATGACGCGCGAGGCGTTACTCCAATCTGCTCAGGAAAATTTCAAAATGGCTCGTAATGACACGAATGCTGCTTTGACGGAAGAACAAATCAAATTATTGCGTTATCAAAGAACTCTGGAAGACACGTTACACAAATCGATCGTTGGTAAACCGTTGCACGATACTGTAAAGTTGTTACTGTTATCCAAGGAATTAAAATTAGCAGACAAACTGAGGTCAGAATATCGAATACCAGATCGAAGGTGTGGTGTGAACATTTTTTCTTTGTCTTTTTTCATATTTCTATTTTTTAGATCGTACATTATTTATTATAAATCGTTTCTCTTAGATATTGGTGGTTACGTATACAATGCTTAGCGGAGAATAAACTATGGGAGGACTTGGAAAAGTTTTCCAAGAGTAAAAAATCTCCCATAGGTTATGAGGTACCCATTTCTAATATTAAAATATTGTTTATCCCTCGTGGGAGTAAGAAATATTAATGTTGATGTATATATATATTATTCTCATCGTTCGTTTCAGCCGTTCATAGATCAGTGTTTGATATATGACGAGCACAAAAAGGAAGCGAAAAAGTATTTACCTAAAGTAAAGGATGAACTGAAAGTGAAGTATTTAGTTAAGCTGAAGTAAGTATACAAGATTTGTTATGATTTGGAGTACAACGAAATAATTCTTGCGATTTTGCAGAATGTTAAATGAAGCAGTCGACGTAGCCGTAGAACAAAAAGATGCTTCTGCGTTAACTTTCGTGTTAGCACAATGCGAACCATCGAATAGGCAACTGATCGACAAAATTAATATGTTCTTAACGAGTTTCAGAAATTAATGCTCGACTATTTCCATTCATTTTTCTGAATCTTTGGTTGAACATCGTATTTGTTCGCATAGATTTATGAAGAGTATCGTTAGGTGCATTTAAAGGAAAATCATTATTTTCCGAATCGATTTAAACCAAGGTACGACAGCGTGATATAGAACGACTAAAAATTCTTTGAAATTTATTAACATGTAAATATTATTACATATAAAATAATAGAATCAGATTTTTAACAAATTTTTTTAATACTTCAGTAATGGAAATGTACTAATATAATATTAATTATCGATTATTGGATATATTTATTAAATATTCCCCAACTTGAAATGCATTCTATATTAACTAAAAAGTGTTGGAAAAAAGCACATCAACTAGATTTCTCGGTAGATCGTATAAAATATTCGTGTCTGTCGATGAGATCGCTGACAATTAATTGTTCGATTTCTACGCCTTTGTTCAACTGTTCGTCCGTGAGAGATATTACGTATTCGTTCTCTTGACTGACGATTATTACTCGCTGCTTTCGAGTTTGCAACATGTTAGCTATGACCAACTACAAAGCATATTTTCAGTATACACGACGTTTATCAATTGAATAATTGAAATTACTCACGTTGTGTTTATATTTGTTGAGCGCGCTTCTCGCTTTCGGAATTAATAGATTTTCGTCGGTTTCCAATTTAAACGACACTACAAACGCCTGTGGAACCCATAAATTAACTAAAGGAGCTAATAGTTTCGGTACTAGTTGAAGGGATATTGTTTGTGGTCCGCTGGAAGGGATTTTATGAACCGACTGTAAATTTAAAGATCATTTTGATGTACATAGATTCAAATGAAATTTTTATAAAAAAATCTTGTATAAAAAAAATCGTGGATATACCAATTCATTTGACGGAATGTAAAAGTCTGAAACTGCTGCTGCAAGATATAAAATAGCTTTGTTTTTAAGACAAGCTAGCGCTTGACACGCAGATCGAAGGTACCAGAGATATTCGGAAACAGTTGTGAAGGTCAATTGCAGTAATTTGCCTTGACTCGAAGCTTCTTTGTATTTATGTAATATCATTGTTAATTGTTCGGTATATTGTGGCAATACTAAAGACAAATCGATGCTTATTATACAGATATACAAAACAAATCCATAAATATGTTTATCTTAAAGAAATATGAATCGAGCAGATGTGTTAAGAAATCTATGAGATATACCTGTGAGCACATGTTTTCCTTCTTGTTGATCGTCCTTTAACATATCTAAAAATTTGTGTCCTATAAAATGTCTCGAATATGGTTCTAGGGATTTGACTCTGTAAATAGGCAAACAATGGTCAATAATATCATTCCTAAACATCGATGGTACGATAGTTACCTGTGCATAAAAATAACGGCATATTCTTTTTCTAAAAAATATTCTGCAGATACAGATCCTCTTGTTCCTGCGCTAAAATTATCTACAAATCTTACCGTGTTGTGCTCTAAGGGAGTCGTTGTTCCACCACTCTATAACATTATTGCAATTAAAAACAACTGAAAATACCAAGGTCAGTAATGTAAAACTCACTGTTACTAGTACGACTTTACTGTTTTTTTTCAAATGTCGTTCTGTAAATTCTTTTAGCGATAGTTCGCTCTGAGCTAGATCTTGAGGTGGTGAATGTTTGACATAAAATTCTTCCCACGTTGTATTCATGTTTGTATTTGTTATTGTTAGAATTGAAATTGAACGGTATCACAGTAAGACTTTATTGTAACACAGTCGTATTTCTTATAAACTTTAAATAGTAGTTTGTGGTACTTTGTCTGTACGTATACATCGAAGAATGTATTCTGCAACGAGGAAGTGATAAGGTATTCTAATAAATGATCTTTATTAAATACAATAATAAATTGCGCACTTTCCTTGAACTTTGAATTTAGAAATTCATTACATAAAAATGGGTGTAACTGTAACTCGTGACTCGTGATACTTACAAGTAGTCGTGATGGATGCGCTCTCTCGCGACATGTTCGATACTTACGTGGATATAATTGGAGACATTCGATAAAAGAGTTTTCCTACGTTATCATGGTATCACGAAACACCAAAAATCTTTCATCTCGAAAAAAAAGATGGAAGTAACAAGCATAAAATCGAAAACAAAATGTACCTTTTGCGATTTATTGTTGCAAACCATAACAAAAGAAATATAACAGCTATTTACATAACATTTATTCTCTTCTTCTGTCTCGTACAATGTCGTCGAAATAAGATTATTTTCAGAAGGTATTCAAACTTTAATATTTAAATCTAATTTAAACTTTGTATATTACACTTGAAAGAATAATACGAATCATGCACAGTATGCCTATTGTCATGATCACTTATCGTTAGTACGATCATGAAACAAACGGATTACATTACAGAATAATACAATATTAAGTTAACCATTTACAGTCGATACTAAGATGGAAAGAATACATTTTTAGTATTCTGGCGCAGGAGATTTGGCATTTTTATTGTAGACCATATGGAACTGAAAATAGAATAACGAGAAGTCAGATGACCAGAGCCTATTTTTTCTACTTGAATATAGTCAGAGACGATTGTCGGCAAGCTTTTACGATATGATTTAAACGTTGCCTGTCGCATTGCATGTTACCGAACATTTTCTTCAGACTACTACAAACAATTTACCTTGTATTGTTTGTCTTTGTATTCGTTCCATGGTTCGGTATTTTTTCCAGGGGTCCACGTAACATCGGGATTACGAACAGCGAGACGGAACAAATACAAAGTCGATCCTAATGCTCCAACTCCGATGCAAAAGAACAGTGGAATCAGCTAAGAATCAAAAATAACTATTAATATTATTGTCGTGATTCCAATCTGTTATTTTACCTTACCATAGGATTCTTTTTAAGGCTGCTTATTGTAAGACCCCGCATTATTCCCATTTTTGCTGTTTCCAAAAACCGTAACAGGCTTCTTTTAACGCGAGACTAATACGTAAGTAAACCACAGACCACAGAATACTTGCGAAACAGACTGAAACAGACTAGTCGATTCTTCTGCGCAGCTGAGATGGCCAAACCACTAGGCCACTAGGTTTCGAAAAATCTGAAATTTGCCGATATGTTTATTTGTCTCGTTTCCTTTTTTCCCACATTTTCTAAAGAAGGAAACGAGACAAGAACATCGGTAAGCTTCAGATATATTATATATTCGAAACCTACGGTTTTGGGTTTTAGCCATCGCTACTGCGCAGTTACAGAATAAAATATCTTTATATCGGAAATTTTATTGCAGCTCAATCAGATACGATCCTAATCATAGAGTAGTTTACAGGGATAAGGAATTTTTTTCAGGAAGAAAGTAGAAAATAATAAACTGCTAGTCTATCTCGTTGACTATACAATATTTCAATTTCAATGGTATCTCTGATATTAGATGCAGACAGTGGAAAGTTTACAATTGGAATTACTAAATTGGTGTTAGTATTAGTGGCGCCATCGGTGGTAAAACGCCCAAGTTCGTAGTGAAAATAGTTTCCACTCTGTCTACTAGATGGCGAAACTGACGAAAGGTTTATTTAAAAAAAAAAAAAAAAAAATGATAATTTACCATTTTATTATTTTATACATTTAGTATATTATTTAAATTGAAGCTAGTTTTAGGGAAAATAACTTTACGTTACGTTCATTGGAAATAGTTATTAGGGGTAACTTTTTTCATAACGTCTTAGTATTTATTAATTATCGATTCTAACTATTTCAATGAAATAACATCATTCAATCATCAAACTTACATGAGAAGATTGTACTTGAGTTTCGCCTCTGTCGAGTACTCTATGGTATGGTAACGGTATGGTAGATACTTGTACATGCTTGAACATAATTTAGTCAATGTAGTCATACCATACGATACCATACAGATACAGTCATACGTCAAAATGGCTGAGCTAATTTCGATACCGTTGAAGAAACCGTCTGATGTAGATGTCATTAAACCACTTACAAACGTTATTAAATCGACATATAGTGGTGCAGGTAATCAGAATGATTATACAGAGGCTATCACTGATTTTAGTAAATTAAGAAACAATGCTTTGTGGAGAGCTTTCGAAAAGTATGAAAGTTCTTTGGAGGTTATATACAGGTATGAGTCATCTTCAATTAAACATTATTTCGATTGTAACTACGATATTTGTCTAAAAAGACACATATCGGTTTAAACTGTTCCACCTGATCAATTTTTGTATAAGAACTTACAATGTAAAAAGATTATTAATATCTATTAGAGCGTTAATTTGTATTATCTTTTACGTTCGGACTTTTGACGTGGTTTTGATACAAATAAATCAGAGCGTAATTACGAGATAATTATACAGTATTGGAATGACATTATCAACGTTCATGATTTCGTTTTCCAGTTATTATGATCAATTGTGTGCATTGGAAGGCAAGATTCCTGCTCATGAATTACAAATCCCATTCAAATGGAAGGATGCATTTGATCGAACTATATTCGGTGGAAAACTTAGTTTAAGTAAGATATATTTGTATATATTAATATCGCATTCAGCTGTTGTAAATAGTACATACTAGTTTAACATATATTTTCACTTAACACTCATTAGTGATAGATAAGATAAAGTCATTATCAACTATATCAATATCTTTAATCTAGCTTTCAATGATAAGTTATACTACAAAACAAACATTTGATATTTTTAGCAATTAGCACATTGTCATATGAAAAGGTATGTGTATTATTCAATATTGCTGCTCTGCAAAGTTCAGTAGCAGCAACACAATCATTAGAAAGTAACGATGGATTGAAATTAGCAGCAAAATTATTTCAGGTTTGTGGTATATAATTTTAGTATATAATTTAAAAAATTCACGAATATTTGTGTATATTAAACTGTTGTATAACTTTCAGCAATCTGCCGGTATTTTTAATTATCTTAAAGGAAATGTTATGATGGCCATCCAACAAGAACCTACGCCTGATATTAGTCCTGAAACATTAGGTGCACTGTCTGCATTAATGCTCGCTCAAGCACAGGAAATATTTGTATATAAAGCAATTCACGATTCCATGAAAGATGGAATTATTGCTAAATTAGCTGCACAAGCAGAGGAATTATATGCGGATGCATTAAAGTTGTTTCAGAAAGAGATTTTCAGAGCATTTTGGGACAAAGAATGGATTCCTTTGGTGTGTAATTAAAATTTCATTTATATGTAGATGTATGCATGTAATACAAGCAATTATTTTGAATACATTAATACAGATAGCAGGCAAGCAAGCTGGATACCGCGCGATGGCTGAATTTTATCAGTCGCTAGTATGTAAAAATAATAAAGTAATCGGAGAAGAAATTGCTAGATTAGAGGTAATTCTATTTATTATAAAAATGTTTCTAACATTTTGTTATTAATATACAATATTAACCGAAATGCGTATATTCTTAGCACGCCGTGGAACTATTCAAAGCGGCGCAACAACGGTCAAATAAACCTAATTTGTTTCAAGAATATGCTAACAGAGCTCAAAGGAATCTTACAGAAGTGAAGAAAGATAATGATTTCATTTATCACGAAAGAATACCAGACGTAAAGTCTTTGGAACCTGTGGGAAAAGCTAACGTTGCAAAATTGCTGCCTCTACCTGAAGTTTTCAGCTCGAATTTCAAAGGTTTGCATATATATATATATATATATATGCATATACACAGAGTCCTTTTATATAAACGTTTCATTTTGCTAGATCTCTTTGCTGACTTATTACCCGTTAGCGTGCACCAAGCATTGTCGTCTTACGAAGTCCGTCGCAACGAACTTGTTAATTCAGAAATTTCAAAACTACGCGAAATGACGCAAGTTCTAAATAGGTATGATAACTAATCAAATACTTGGATAAATACTCTACCCCTATCTAATGTTCAATAATTATATTTTTAGCGTTTTGGCAAGTTTGAATTTACCCGCAGCTATCGAGGATACGAGTGGTACTGAGTTACCCCAGTCTTTGTTGGAAAAAGCTCAATACGTCAAAGAAGCTGGTGGAATAAATGGTTTGGAAAATGCTATGAAAGAACTACCAGATCTTTTGCAACGAAATAAAGAACTTTTAGATGAGGTAATAGATTCTTTATAAATTATTATACATGTTTGTTTTATAATGTAACTTGGAGGTTCTTTTTCTAGTGTGACCGAATGCTGAAAGAGGAACGCGAATCTGACGATCAGTTACGTGAACAGTTCAAGGAGCGTTGGTCGAGAATACCCAGTACTCGTTTGACGGAGCAGTTTACTGTTAATTTACGAAAGTATCGTGAAATTATTAACAATGCTGTATCGGCTGATAAAGTAAGTATAACGATGTTGTGAAAATAATTTTGTACAAGTACATAAATAGAATATTTTCAAATATTATGTCTTTTAGACAATTCGCGAGAAATTCGAAAATCACAAGCATGGCATGGAAATATTAAGTCTGAACGATGGCGATCTGATTAACGCTGTACCAACTGGATCAGCAGTCCAAGAAAGTCATACCGTGACCCAACTTAGGAAGCTAATGGAGGATGTAAGTGTTTAACATAAATCTTTTCATTTTATATTTGTATCACTTTACCACGCAATCTTCAATTTCCTTCTAAGGTTGAAACACTAAAAGCAGAACGCGACGTTATAGAAAGCGAACTAAAATCTGTTACTAGCGATATGAAAGCGACATTCCTCTCGGCGCTTGCTAAAGACGGTGCCATCGACGAGCCAAATTTATCCGTAGAAAACATAGGGCAAACGTACGGACCTTTGCAAAAGCAAATAAGAGACAGTGTTTCTCGGCAAGAACAACTAATTGCTGAAATTCAAGTACATTAGAATTTTGTCTCGTGTGTATTATAGTTTGAATATTTTGTATGTGACTGATTTAAAGAATGATTACAGAGATGCCATGCGGAATTTACGAATGAACAATCTGGCAGTGGCAGTTCAAGAGAAACGATGTTATGTAAACTGGCAGCTGCTTATGACGCATTTAAAGAA